ATCCTCTCAATTTAAAGGGCTGAACTAATAGCTCTTAGTGCCCTTCACCATCTTGATACTGCTCCAGGTCTCCGGCAGTTCTAGAAAGGGCCATACTAGCTCCCTGAACTGCTCCTGCTTTTGACACATTTACTGATGTGCTGTTTGCAGTACTTAGAAAGTGCTGAGAAGGTGGCTGGGTGGGACAGAATGAATGGGGACACGAGGCAGGGGGTAAGTAATGAAGTGTGTGCCGCATTTCCTGCCCGCTCATTTGTGTTGGCACACACCAGGCATGAAGGCCACCTATTTGGACGGCTTTAACAAGAGAGTGGCCACATTCGTGGAGGAGAGGGCTATGCATGGCTGCTAGCATCGTGCGCTGTGCGCCGCATACCTGGGCCGGCAGTGCTCTGGCGCCCGTCCTCCCTGGGGATCCTGTGGACAGCTGGTTTGCCACTGCGTGAACCGAGTGCTGGACTGGATGAACCCTTGGCCTGATCCAAGCGGCTCTCCTTTAGCTCCTGTCATTTTCTAGCCATGAGATTTTCTGTGTCTTCCCCAATAAGAAAAAGGACACACGCTTTCCAGGCAGCTTTTAAAAAAACAAAACTGGAGAGGTGGCAGAATGGGATGGAGCAAATGGCATCAGCCAGATTTACACCCCTCCCCATATGGCTGCATTCCCTCCCTCCCTCCCTCCCTCCCTCCCTCCCTCCCTCCAGTTGGTTCCTGGGGAGGGGGAGAACTGCCAGGGAGCTGCAGCAGCAGGTGCTCCAAGACTGAGCCACACAATGGGTGTGGGTGCGTTCTGTAGCTTCCCTTTCTGGAATAGCTAGAGATTTGGTGAAGTACCAGAAATGTGGAAGGCACAGAGAATTGCCCACTCAGGCAGTCCAGGGGATGACATTGCTATGGGGGGAATTTGTCACTGCCCCCTTTGGTGGTGGTCCTCCTTCCCTTCTTCGCCAGTGGTCTCCAACGGGCAGCTCAGGGTCTCAGCACAGGTGCACCTATGTGCAGTCTTGGCTTTATTTATTTATTTATTTATTTATCGATTTATATCCTGCCTTTTTCCTACAAAGGGCTCAAGGCAGCTTATATCATTCTCCTCCTCCATCTTATCCCCACAACAACAACCCTGTGAGGTGGGTTGGGCTGAGAGTCTGTGACTGGCCCAAGGTCACCCAGTTGGCTCCATGGCCGAGCGGGGACTAGAACCCAGGTCGTCCCGAGTCCCAGTCCCATGCTCTTAACCACTACACCACACTGGCTCTCTTGTCAGTTTCTGTCTGTTACCAACTGTGCTTTGCCTCTTGCAGTGAAGACCTGCACAGATTTTGACCAGACACAACTATATTGAACAACCCTTAGTGTTCACTTTGACACTGGCACATTACTGATTTTTTTCTTTGGGGGAGGGAGGAGATTTGCCTACTTTTTTTCAGGGTCAGCAAAAAAGGGGGTGGGGGAGAGCAGTGAACCAGTGATGGTTGTGCCAGAGTGCTGCGGGGGTGGGTGTTGGTGAGGGGTTCTCCTGGACAGCGGGACAGGCAAGATCGCAGGGAAGGGGGGACTTGGCTACTGTTGCCAAGCTAGTTGTGAAAAACCACAATCAAATTGGTCTCATGAATTCAGCTGCAATGACCATCTTCCATGGAACAAAAACCCCTAGAACAAGTAATAGCTTGGTGGAGCGACATAATGCCCTCAAACAACCCACCCTGCATGAGGGCCAGTGTGGTGCAGAGGTTAAGAGCACAGGACTGGGACTCGGGCGACATGGGTTCTAGTCCTTGCTCGCTTGTCCACTGAATGACTTTGGACAAGTCCCAGACTCTCTGCCCAACCTACTTCACCGGGCTGCGGTGGGGATAAGAGTGAGAGCAGGAGGAGAACGGTGTAATCTGCTTTGAGTTCATTGTAAGAAAAAGTGGGATATAAATCTGTAGATATAAATTTAGACCTAGGAGTCTAGGCTGTGTGTCATAAATCCAGCCTCTTTGTCTTGCATGGCAGCCCTGTATATAGCGCAGAAGTAAGCCCCATGGAATTCAGAAGTGCTTACTCATTTGTAATGTGTAGGGTTGCCATCTGCATCTCAAGGATTTGGTTCCTCATATTTCTGAGCCCTGCACAATAGGTGAAAGTCATTTTTATTGGTATGATTTTTTTTCAGGCTGTCTTTAAGAGTGGGATCCCTTATCATCACAGATAATAGCAAACCTGTGTTTTAAGAAGTTTGCATCAAAGCAGGATGATCAAAAATGCTGAGATACATAAATATATATTTGTAAAAGATAAGATTACAGGAAGCAGTAACATTGCACAAGATGCAACTTCCTTGTATCTTAAAAGGTCCTTTAAAAAATAGAAACAAATATAGACTAATTTAAGAACTCTTTGCATCCTGCTCAGATGCAGTTTGAATTGAAGGAAGTTGACCCCCACGCACAGAAATAGAGACTGTAGAATTGCTTACAGGGTACAGACCGTCACTTGCCAGTGGAGCCTTTGCTTCACCCACAGGAGGTCCTGGATTCAGTTCCTGGACTCTCAAAAGATGCAGGATACAAATAATGGGAAACACCTCTAGTGAAGGTCCGGAAAGCTGTTGCCAGACAAGGTAGACAGTCTTCATTTATTTACATTTATAAACTTTGTATTTCCTGAAAAGGTTTCAAGGCACTGTATAAACAACAAACCAAGGAAAGCTTTCAGCAATAACATTAAGATCATTAAAACAGTAAAAAAAGTATACATTTTGAAAGGCTAAATGGGAAAAAAGATCTTTGCACCCTTTCTAAAGAGTGGAGCTCAGGTGTAACTTTTGAGCGAGTGCATTCCACAGCTTGAGGGCAACAGAGGAGAAAGCCACCAGGGCGGCAGCGGGCAGCTCCTGCCTCCCTCCACCACCCATGTTCATGGACTGCACCTTCCATCAGCCATAGCCAGAACAGCTCTGGGTAAGGGTCTCTGGGAGCTGCTGTCACAAGTTGTCCACCTTGCCTAGACAGACAGTGCCTCTGACCTGGTAAAAGAGCTTCCCATGATCTGGGGAAAGGTGGAAAAAGATGGGAAAGGTATTGTGCACTGGAGCCATTCCCCTCCGAGGAGAGGTTGCGACAGGTGGGATTGCTGGCGTGGGAGAAAGGGCAAGGCAGAGGAGTTGCAATCCAGGCATAGAAAACCATGCACGATGTGGAGAAAGTGGACCAGGAGTCATTTTTCTTCCTGCCTTATAATGCTTGAACCCAACAGGGTCAGTTCATGAAGCTGATTGGTAGGAACTTCAGAATGGATCAGAGCAATGACTTCACAGAGCACATCTTTACAATATGGCATTCATATCCCCAAAATATAGCAATGGTCACCAGTCTGAATGGCTTCAAAAGGGCTAAGACCATCACGGGCTGCTAGTCCCCGTGGCTATATGCCGCCTCCAGTAGCAGAGGCAACGCACCTACATGCACCAGTTGCTGGGGAACATGCGCGGGAGAGAACTGTGGTACTCAGATCCTGCTTGTGGGTTTCCTATGAGCAACCGGTTGGCCTCTGTGTGAACGGAGGGTTGGGCTTGTAGTCAACACAGCGTTTCCTATTGGCTTGTGATCCATGCTGCTGACCAGAACTCCCTCTGGAAGCTGCTTTCTGAGCAATGCCTTTTCAAAGAGGGAATCCGTCTGGAGCCACTTCATAACTGAGCTGCTGTGGAGGGGCGGATTGCACTTTCTAGAGGTCCAAACCAAATTGAGAGGCAGTGTGCTACAGTGGTTAAGAGTGTTGGGCTGGGGCTCAGGAGATGTGGGCCATAGGCCCCGTCAGCCGTGGGCTCAATGGGTGACTTTGGGCCAACCACAGACCCTCAGCCCAACCTACCTTGCAGGGTTGTTTTGAGGATACAAATATAATAATTATACATCCTCTGGGCTGCTCCTAGGGCAAACTCTTGCCAATGTCAACTGGGAAATTTTGTGCACTACAATGATGGCTTGACCATTGCATAGTGTGTGCTGAGTCCGGGCTTGTTTAATCTCTCCTTTGTATGTGCACACGCTGTATGATTTTTTCTGTCTTTTGGATGGGTTCCCCTTTCTGCTGTTTCCTTCAAAGCCATACAAACCATTCTCAGAGATGTTCTAATTTTGAGGTTTGGCTCATGAAAGGAGGCTTGTATCTGATCTCACAAGAATGTGCACTGTAAAAGTTTTATAAGAACTCCTTTTTGGTGCTAACTAGATATTGCAAGACTTTCAATTAAAAAGAAGTGGAGACCAGCATGGTCTGGAAAACAGAAGCCTCTTGTCCCTAAAGGCCTGGAGGGAGCTGTGCTGGAGAGTCCTTCTTTGTGAATTTACTGGTGGGTGCTTGGGTAGTCGGGCTGCTTTATGGGCTTCTGTTAAGCTTAGCTCCAAACACAGCTGGCTGAGGTGGAGGTGCAAGTGAGGCAGCCCTCGCCCGAACACAAGGCTTTTTTTTTTTTTTTTTAAGGGAAATGTATATGAACATGATAGGAGCAACAAAATAGCAAGAACAGGAAAGGCCAACTTTTTGTGTAATCTTGTTAAAGAAACAGCTGAATTATGAAGCATCTTAACGTGTATTGCTAAATTTTCTTTTAAAATCTTCAGTTAATTAGGTTTCTTTTGGAGGTAGTGTTTTGTTAGCAGTGGGAGCGCTGGTTACCAGCAGTTCTCAAGTTCATGGTGCCAGGCTCCATGTGGCTAGTCCACATGAACAAGAAATATCAGCTAAAGCATATTTGCTGGCCATGTTCCTGGCAGCTTCATATGGAGGACTGTTTAAAAGGGAGCCTTTCTCACTGATACTGAATGGGAGGCTGCTGGGGATGAGGGCTAAGTGGCAAGTTGGTGTGTGATGGGTGTGTTTCTCCTTAGTATTCCCTCAAAGAAATGGCTTGAATGCGCTTTATGCTGTGCACACCTTGGTTTGTATTACATTCCGTGATGTCAGAATGTGAATGTCTAATGATAGCCATCTACTTCCTGGTGTACCTCTAGGGTGTGAAGGAGGAGACACCAGACAAGCCAAAATGTTCTACCGTGGCGGACAAAGCTGGATGGATCAAGAAGAGCAATGCAGGGCTTTGGGGCTTCTGGAAGGAGCGCTACATGCAGCTGTGCAAATCCCAGCTCTTGATGTACGAAGATGAGGTAAGACCAGCCAGGGAAGAGGGGTCTGATCCTGTCTGCTGTGTGCTGCTGGCATCTGCCACAGTGCAGTTATGCATTCAGCCTGGCTCTTCCTTGAATTTGTGCCAACCCTGGTTCATGTATTACAACAGTCCTGAATATGGGTTGCTGTAGGATCGCAGGTTATCACTGAATTAGGGGATGTTGCTATGTGTGAACCCTGCACTATGGGTTAGCTGCAGGTTGTTAGCTAGAAACAACCCAGGAAAATAACCAATTCTTTATCGTCAGGTTGTCAGCTCTGGATTGTTCATGGTTAATAACCAGGGTTCCCATGTAGAGACAGTTTGTGATTGAACAACATCCCGTATTTCGATGACAACCTGCACTTGATCAGTACCTGGTGAATCAAGTTGCTGTGTCTGTATCTGGTCATAGGTTCCTTATTTTCTTCAGTTGTAATGTTGCAACTCTTAATTCAGACTAATGGCCTCCTTTTCCTACTGTGTTTCCGTGAGAGAAGTCAGTTATTTCTGGGTGAGATCAATTATTCCAGTTACTTTCTTCACCCTTTGGTACCAGCCTGCAAACTTGGCCTGCCACAGAAGTGAGTTGGCGCATGTGCTATTGTTGTTGGTTTGTTCCATCAGACGGTGTGCTGCTTTCTGTTTTCCTGGAAAAAAGTTAGAACACAAATTCTGTAAGAGAGCAAGTCACTGTGCAGTGCATTCCAGAGGCTAGCAGGGTCAGGTTCTTGTGGCATCTCCAGACTGCAACCATGTTTTTAGAAGCATGCTTGAGTGTGTTTTAGATTTAGGGTGTTGGGATATTATGGTTTGTAAGAAGCTGCTTTGGCATGTTGCGAGGCTTCTGGGGAGGAGTCACCATGAAACAGGAGTGAATGGAGAAACACACATGCATTTCTGGACCCTACATCAGCCTCTGGGCTTCTGGGGAGGCTCTGCTCTGTGACATTATTACATGTGGCTGAGAAGCAGGACCTTAGTGGTGACACCAAAGCCTTGGAATGGCCCCCTTGTTGTTTCTCGTTCAGAAATCTAACATTGTCTTGTTGAAACAGGCTTTTCATTTCTTAATATTTTGTTATTCTTAAAAATGATACTGCTTGTCATAGTTGGTGTTCTTTTTGGTCTATGGTTTTTAATATTACAACTATATATATATATATATATATATATATATATATATATATATATATATATATATATATAGAGAGAGAGAGAGAGAGAGAGAGAGAGAGGAATATATATATTTTCCTCTTATTTTTTGCAAAGTCACTTTTATTGGTAGAAGAGCAAGCTATCACTATAAAGTAACACAAATCTATCCTATTTCATTTGATGCAAGGAACATTGTTGTGTTCATTGTTGCTTAGCTATCCATTGTCGTCTTTGCCCCTGGGCAGGTTTGCACAAAACAGTAGCCGCCTGATGAATAAGCCTTGGTGAACCACAGTGCACCCAACAGATGATCAGGCTCGTGGTGGTTTGTTCTTTCCTTCCTTCCCTCTGGGTTCTGCAGCGAGCATTGCAGTGTCCTTTGCCCTTCCTTTCTCCCCACCTACTCAAGTCACTGCCCCTTTTTATTTGCCATTTGCCATGGAGCTCTTGGGTGACGTTGGGCCAGTCAAAGACTCTCAGCCCAGCTTACCTCACAGGTGGTGGTGGTTGTGAGCATAACATGTAAGCCACCTTGGCTTCCTCACAAGAGGAGAAATGTCAGGATCTAAATGCAAGATGAGGATGACGAGGATGATGATGATAGTTTTTAAAAGTCAGAGCCTAAGAAAGGCTCAGTTGGAGTTGTACTCACCAGAAAATCACTAGTAAGAGGGAAATAGCTCTCAGTGTCCTTCACATTGTTGATGAAAATGTATTTGATTCATAGTTTAAAAATGCCTTATAGGCAGATAATAGGGCACAGCAGATAGGGTGCCACCACTGGCAAGACCTACACCCTGTTCCCAAAGTGGCCCCCTTCACTCTGCCTCATTGAGAGCCAGTGTGGTGTAGTGGTTAAGAGCATGGGACCGGGACTCAGAGGATCTGGGTTCTAGTCCCCGCTCAGCCATGGAGCCAACTGGGTGACTTTGGGCCAGTCACAGACTCTCAGCCCAACCTACCTCACAGGGTTGTTGTTGTGGGGATAAGATGGAGGAGGAGATGTAAGCTGCCTTGAGCCCTTTGTAGGAAAAAGGCAGGATATAAATCACAATATAAATAAAATAAATAAATATAAATTGAGCCACCTCCTGAGGGTACACACACAGAGACACTAGCATCTCTTCTTTCTGGAATAGCCAGGGAACCCAGCAAAGTGCCAGAAAGGCACTGGGCACTGTCTGTTTAACACTGAAAATTGGGAAGGTTATCTTGCCCAGAGAAAGCTTGTCACATGCCCTGTTGGATGCACCTGCTTTTTCTCCCTTTCCCCTCTTCAACTGACAGCTCAGCAACTGTGTCCAAGTGATCCTGCATTCGGTGTTTCCTTGCCCATTCCATCTGTGTTACCAGCCACACTTGACTTTCAGGGGCAGCTGAAACCTACAAGGACGGCCACAAATGTACACTTGCACATCTCAGTTCATTCGAATTCACCACCACCAAGAATTTTTTTTAAAAAAATACAGGTATATTTGTGCACATTTCTGGGGGGAAAATGAATTAAAGTGACAAACTTATTTACTTATTTATTTATTTAAAACTTTTGTATGCCATCACCACATGCCTTGGCATCTCAGGCCAGCTCACAATACATATAATTAAAAACAATAAAATGATCTTTATAAATAACAAATTCAATAAAAGATTACATAAGGACAAAAAACCAAAAACAAAAAGAGCGACTGTTCAACGATAAATTATTAGTTTTTAAAATAGCGATTAAATAAAAGGTTTTAACCTAGTGCTGAAAAGAATGTAAACTCGGTGCCAGGCGCACACCTCTCCAGGGAGTGCATTCCATAATTTGGGCGCCACCACAGAGAAGGCCCTGCTCTGGGTAGATGTTCTTTTTATCTCCTATGGTTGTTTCAAAGTACCACTTGGGCACCAGTGGAGGGACTGTCACTGGTGAGATTATGCAGAGCAGCAAGGAGGCTTTGCCTCTCTTGCCATGTGACTCACTAGTTGTTCCCTGTAACCTGCAGTGGAATAGGCCTCCTGGGTTTAGATGACACGGCAGCCTATTGTGGGTCAAACAAGCCAGGGTTTGGCAAGTGGCTTGTTGCCCCCAAATAAGTTGCTTCATGGGAAGCTGTCTAAGTTCAGATGACACAAGAGTCATGCAACCCCAGTGTCTCTCTCTCTCTCTCTCTCTCTCTCTCTCTCTCTCTCTCTCTGTGTGTGTGTGTGTGTGTGTGTGTGAGAGAGAGAGAGAGAGAGAGAGAGAGAGAGAGAGAGAGAGAGATCAACCCAACAAAGGAGAATACACCATGCCTCTGGTCTAGGCCATAAATGCTTGTGCCAGAACAACCCTGTTGGTCTTTGAGGTGCCCCGAGACTCATCATAATAGAAACATAGAAACAGAGTGAGTCAGAAGGGGCCTCCCGGGCCATCTAGTCTGACCGCCGGCACCAGCCGGCTCCGCTCACGACATGCCATCCATGTGGACGTCCAGCCTGTCTTTGAATACCCTCACCAATGGGGCCTCAACGACCTCTCGTGGAAGCCCATTCCACACCCTCGGGGTCCTAACTGTCAGGAAGTGCTTCCTGGCATCCAAATGGAACCTTGGTTCCCTGATGTTTTGTCCAAGATGTATTCAATCAATGCAAGCAGAATCCAGTGCCTTGCACTAGGTTCCCAGTGTGATACCTGCGAATGCCAGATGCCGGCCAGGCTCCCTGCCCCTCCTCTCTATTGATCTATTCGAATAAGATTTTATTTAATTTTAAACTGGAAGGGTTAAGAAATATGCCTCCACAGCAGCCATTCTGTGGGAGTTTTCCACAATGCTGGCTCAAAATTTCGCATGTGCACAGCAGCCCAGAAAGGTGGATGACGCCAGAGTTAGAAGGACAAAAAGTAAAATAATAATGCAGGGAAGTGCTGGTTGGAGCTGCAAGGCTGAGTCCAAGGTGTTCTGTGCATAGGCTGAGTTGCACGGAAGGGGTGACGCAGTGTTGCCCAAAGGCCTGTGCTGAGAGTGGGCTGGGCTTGTTCTTTGCTTTTGGGAGAACCAATATTGTTCCCTTTCAGACTCGGCTTGCTGTTTGTACACTGGGAGATAATGGTGACTTGCCTTGCAGGATGTTATGGGAGTTATCATTTTAATTATTGTTATACAAATATTGGGAGCTTCTTAGGTTATTGCTAAGGAACATGAGAAAAGCTAGGGTAATGTTTTACTGACACTAGTACATTTCTATATGCATACCTAATACATATAGCATTTAGGCACCTATGTATCAATTGCAATGAATATACTTAATACATATGCAGTGCAAGTTACTTTATTTATTCAAAACATTTGTATGCTGTCCTTCACTATCGTGTCTGAGGACGGCTTACATAATTAAAAGCAAAACCATAAAACAATCAATAAAACAGAACAATACAATATAATTATAAAACCAGAGCAAATAAATCCGATCCAAACAAAACTAAAAAGTGACTGTAAAACGGTAAAAGTACTAATTCTTAAAATATCGATTAAATAAAAAGGTTTTAACCTGGCGTCAAAAAGGGTATAGGCTCGGCGCCAGGTGAACCTCACTAGGGAGCATATTCTATAATTTATGGAATTATTTCTAATGCTTTAATTGTTTTTGCCTTTGTCACAAGTTCTTGAAGTTCAAAATAAAAATTATAATCAATGAATAAAGAAAGCAAATTGGACAGTATTTGCAAAGTACAGGAAAGTAAACTCAAAGCCCAAAAGCGCAATGTAGTTCCACTGAATTTGGGAGGAGTGAATGGGAGTAAGACTCACTAGTCCGTTGTAACACTTTGGAGCAGTTCAGCTGGTTGTATCTAATGCTGATAGGAAGCAGTTCTGT